AAGAGGCACTTGCCAGTAGCCTTTTAACAAGTCTAACTTACTGACATAACAGGCTGAACCGAGGTTGTCAACACAATCTTCCATGCGCGGTAAAGGAAAACAGTCGGGCACCGTCACCGCATTTATCTTTCGGTAATCAGTACAAAATCGCGCTGTGCCATCACTCTTCGGCACTAATAAGCATGGAGAACTCCAGGGACTACAGCTGAACCGAGCAAGTCCATGCTCTACTAGATACTCAACCTCATTTCGCATCACATCTCTTTTCGCTGCATTTGCGCGGTATGCATGCTGTTTAATCGGGGTAGCATCACCCACATTAATGTCGTGCTCCAAAACTGTAGTGCGAGAAGGTACATCATTAAACAAAGCAGGAAAATCATCAATCAACTGCATAATATCACATCCTTGTTGTTCAGATAAATGAGATACATGAGATGTAAGATCAGACAATACCTCAGAATTCTTAAGTCGAGCACATTGTTGATGTGTGTGACGAAGAACGACTCCATCATCCTCCGGATCAGTGATCTCGACAGCAGCACAAGTGAACACAGGAGATGACACAGGAGATAACACAGGAGCAATGATTTCTTCTGCAAGTGACACATTCTGAACAGCTTCCCTACTGTAAAAAGTCTTTAACATATTCACGTGACACACTCGAGTCTCCCTTTTTCTATCTGGAGTTCCAATTACATAATCTGTAGTACTAAGTTTTCTTACCACCTCGTATGGTCCAGAAAACCGCGCTGATAAAGCAGACCCTACCATAGGCAGCAACACCAACACTTGATCGCCCTTATTAAAGGTACGCTGAACAGATTTACGATCATAGAGACTCTTCATTTTACCCTGAGCCACTTCAAGTGACTCTCTTGCCACGGAACAAGCTTGATGCAAGCGCTCACGGAACTTACTCACGTAATCCAGCACGTTCATTTTCGGGCTAGACTCAACAGATAATAGATTCTCTTTAAGCATTTTCAAAGGTCCTCTGACAGTGTGTCCGAATACTAGTTCAGCAGGACTGAATCCAAGGCTTTCTTGAACTGCTTCTCTGATCGCGAATAAAAGCAATGGTACACCCTCATCCCACTCTTTCCCTGTTTCCATACAGTACTTTCTAAGCATTGACTTTAACGTTTGATGGAAACGTTCGAGTGCCCCCTGACTCTCCGCGTGATATGCACTTGCTACCCTATGGGAAATATTTAAACTCGACAACACTTGAGAAAAGATTTTTGAAACAAAATTGGTGCCTTGATCTGTCTGCACAATTTTTGGTAAACCAAACGTAGAAAAAAACTTAACAAGTGCTCTAGTTACGACAGGTGCCGTGATCTTTCTCAATGGGATCGCCTCAGGAAATCTAGTGGCAGTACACATTACGGTCAATAAAAACTGATTACCGGTCTTAGATCTAGGCAAAGGGCCGACACAATCGACGATAACGTGCTCAAACGGTTCTCCCAACACTGGAATAGGAACAAGTGGAGCACACGGAATGACTTGATTCGGTTTGCCAGCGATCTGACAAGTGCGGCAAGTGCGACAAAATTGTGTGACATCAGTTTTTATTCTAGGCCAAAAGAAATGTCTCAAAATTCGGTGATAAGTTTTTTTAATTCCTAGATGTCCCGACAGGTCGTGATCATGAGCTAAAGATAGAACTTGCTGTCGGTAAAATGAGGGAATCACGATCTGATACACACTACTCCATTCAGCATCTCCAGTCTCCGAACACCATTTACGCATCAATAAATCGTCCTCAACGAAATATGCAGTTTTTCTCTCTTGAGCTTTCTCTGTGGAAACAGCAGCAGCAAAGCACTTCTGGAGACTTTTATCCTGTTTTTGAGCCACAATAAGTCTCTCGCGCGTCACGCGCAGCTTTACACTCATAGTATCTGGAACATGCGCATTCTCAACAGCTTTAACGTCATCAGATACAACATCACTGATAAAAATAGGTGCGATAAAAGATGTAGCCAAATCATCAGCATCCGCTTTACGAGCTTGAGCCCGCGTCACTACACAAGTTGAAAATGTTTCTGGATATGACTGGGATAACTCATCAGGCTGTTCGAGCGCCACTGGTTTGTCGAAGACTTCCAGCAAAGGCATAATTTTTCCACCGGCTAAATCATTGCCCAAAATAATTTGTACCCCACTCACCGGTAAACGTTCACGAACAGCTAATTTCACAAAACCCGTACATAGTTCTGATTCTAAGTGAATCTGATGCAACGGAGCTTGAACGAGACCCATCTCTATGCCCTGTACTAGAACATGACTGCCACAAAAAGTTTGCTCCGAGAACGGCAGTACATCAGCACTAATAAAGGACTGCATGGCCCCAGTATCACGGAGCATCTGAACTCTTACCCGTTCCTCAGAATTTCCCGCAACGGAAATTAACCCTTCCAACAGAAAAGGTACGTAACTGGAATCAGGCTTGTCGTTACACTCAATTTCTTTAGAATCAATCCGTTTCACAAAACCAGCACTCTTAGGTACAGAACTTGACTGTTTTCGTTTCAGTACAAAACAATCGGCAATTAAATGGCCAGGTTTGTGACAATAAAAACATTCTCGATCTTCCTTTGATTTTGGAGTACCTGATTTTGGTCGAGATGGACTACTCGAGCTCACTTGAACAGCAGCTTTCTCAAAACGCGCAGCAGCAAACACATTTTTATGCGTCAATGAAAACTCATCTGCCAGAACGGAGGCCTGAGACAAAGACGTCACTTTTTGTTCATTCAAGTAAACGACAACACGTTCAGGAATACAATTCTTAAATTCTTCCAAAAGAATTAACTCCCGCACGTCTTTTAAATCATTCACTTTACTAGATGTACACCACTTGTCAAACAAAGTGCCTTTCTCCCTTGCAAATTCAACAAAAGTCTGACTAGAATTTTTCTTATGACCCCTAAAACGCTGTCTATAAGCTTCAGGCACCAGCTCATATGCACGCAAAATCGCAGCTTTCACTACTTCATAATTCACGCTATCCGCTAAGGACAACGTAGCACAAACATCTTGAGCTTTACCGGTCAGCTTGCACTGCAACAGCAAAGGCCAAACCTCTTTAGGCCAATGGAGTATGGAAGCAATCCTCTCAAACACACTAAAATATGAGTCAACTTCTGTTTCTCGAAACTGCGGCACAAGGGAAATATGCTTACTGACCTCAAAGGTGGTTCTCACCGGCCCAGCCCCTGCCGAAGCATCAGCGGGCGGTAAAGGTTGCACAACTGGAACAGGTGTTACTTTGGCTGCCTTCAATTCAAGTTCACGCAGCTTAATCTGCGTCTCCGCCTCGATTTCAAGTCTGCGGACTTCCAGTCGAAAATCCAAATCCGCTCGACGGACTTCTGCCCGTTCGCGTGTCTCCATCTGGAGTCGCGCTATACGAACCTTCAGTCGCGCATCACCTCCTATAGACTCATCTGAGTCCGGCGAAAAAGGTTCGAAGGGCGGCAAAACAGCTTTGGCTTCAGAACCCTCTACCTCAGCCGTCTCGCTCTGCTCCTCCTCCTCAAGGCGACTATCAGCACCAGGAAAAACTTCCCCACCACCTGCAGGCAACACTAAAACACCAAGTTCAACCAACCTTTGGGATACAGCAAACTTAATCTCTTTTTTAAGCCGCTGCTTCGAAACAGTAACCTGAACATGAGCAGCAATCCGCAGTAAATCATCTTTCCTACATTTATTTAACTGCTCAACCGTAGGTGCACTCAAAAAGGTGTCTAAATCAAAATCAGCCATTACTCTTATCAGAATCACTAACCATACAATCAACCAGCCCATCCACTAATCACTGCCTCGCGAATTAACACTCTACAAGGAAAGTACTGAACATGGTCATTCCACCACTCACATCAGCAGTAAATAATAACTCGGGAAACAAATAAAATATAAAGTTATCCCGGACGAGCCCCCATTAAATGTTACGATCTTTTAAAGTCTAGGAGATGTTACGCAACATTTGTTTTATTAGCACTGCTGATGGAGGAATACGGTGGAGAGAAAACCATGACAGACTCAACTTGAAGAGAAACAAACTGGATTTTATTGTCACAAAGCCGAAGCCACTAGTTCCAGTTTGGAAAAATGAGTGTGCTATTTACAATGTTTACAAATATTAAATAATAAGGGAAGAGAACCAAAAAGTGGCGCCAAAGAAAAGAACAGAATATAACAAAACAATCCTTATACTAAACCTAATCCTAACCAAAGAAAAAGGTGAAAAGAAAACCGAATTCTTCGGTGCATCCGGCACCTAAATAAGCTAGCTACTAAAACAAAACATACACAGAGTGGCGCTCACTCCTAACCTAGTGTATCTAACAAATAAACACTACGGGCATTATGTATACCGCGGCATACTGACCTGTCGTTCTCTTTCCCAGAGAGAGAGTCGAATTACAGGACCCCACAGCGTCACACTGGGATACACATTGAAACTATGATCTCTACAACTAAAACATACTGAATATCAAGGTACAGATAAACAAAGCATACAGCACCCAACTCATTCCACTACAAAGAGCCAGACATCACTATATGAATCTCCAGTCACAGGTTTAGTAACCTCACAACGCTACACGAGCTCATGGCCGCTTCCGAGAGATCGAATGAATGAAAACGCCATCCTTTTGAACCCAGCTGGTCAACTCTGATTGGCTCCCGGGCGCCGCCCCAACGATGAGTGACGTCCCGCTAGGCCAATCACAGCAGCCTGCCAGCCAAGAGTGAGCTAGAAACAGAAACAGATAATGAGCATATACTATCAACACGTGCGAAGTATACCAACGTGCACAGACTAGTGAAAACAAAACAAACCCCCACGTGGAACGTAACACTTTGCCATTTCATAATCGCTAATAATATAAAACTGTTTAAGCGCAATTTCCATGTTAATTGCAATTAATCATGCAGCCCTAAAATGATTATAATCATAAAGGATCAAATCTGCTTTGTTATAGTTCAGTTGATCAGAAGAGATCAGAACCAGAGCCCAGCTGTGTGTCTATGAGGAGTGACAGGTCTATGGATCCGCCAGTACATTTTAAGAGTGGAGATACCAAGACTGTTTGCAGGTAAATCATTTCTATAACAATATGATTATAGTATGGCATTTTGTATTATCAGAATAGTATTGTGATATTAAATAATTATTTTTGTACATTGTTTATAGTTTTTTTTTATTCTTTATCTGATATTTTAACATATATAGAGTTGCTTACAAAGACCCAAATCTATGAGAGTGCTTAGTTAAAAGTACAGTTTTTGTATCAAAATAGTGTAAATAAAAACCTGTGAAGTGTTTATATGGATAAAATAAGTTTTTTTTTAATACAGTAATTTAAACTGAAATACAGAAATTGAAATCTCTTTAATCTGTTATAGTTCAGTTCATCAGAAGAGATCAAAACCAGAGCCCAGCTGTGTGTATATGAGGAGTGAGGCATCTGGTCATATAATAGAGTTTAAGAGTGGAGATAAACAGACTGATCTCTGGTATAACGTTTTTGCAAAAGATATGATTTTATTATGATACATAATTCAAAAAAGACTTATTGTTTATTAACTCTTGTTAAAGGAACACTTCGACTTTTTTGGACTTTAGCTTATTCACTGTATCCCCCAGAGTTAGATAAGTCCATACATACCTTTTTCATCTCCGTGCGTGCTGTAACTGTCTGACGCACCCACCGCTAGCCTAGCTTAGCACAAAGACTGGATGTAAATGGCTCCAGCTAGCATACTAATCCCAATAAGAGACAAAATAACGCAAACATTTTCCTATTTACATGTTGTGATTTGTATAGTCACAGAGTGTACAAATAACAAGATCATATGAGACACAGACATCCTTTAACCGTATAAATATTGGGAACTATATTCTCAGAAGGCAAAGCACTGCTACTTGGGCGGAGTGATAACCGCAGCACCTGAGACGCACCGTGGTGAGGAGCAGAGAGTTCGTTTAGAGTTGGAGTAATAGAGTCAACAATTACTAGATAGTAAAAGCATAGTTTACAATCATAGGTGTTCGCTGTATTGTAAAGAGCTGCGACAATAATAAACAGGGGAGACCATGTAATAGCATGATGTTTCATAGAATTCCAACCAAAAACGCTGACCTGATGAATCAATATACTTGCTCTGGATATCGATCCAAACACACCTGAAGAGATCATGTTTGCTCAGTACATTTCACTGAGGACGACTATTTTGAAAAAATGGAATTTGCCACACGGACCATGAAACGTGTCCTGAAGGATACGGCCATCCCATCGATAGCACAGACGGGACAAAGTGGAGCAGCTGCGGTGGTAAGTGTTCCGTTATGTTTTTAGATGACTAGCCTATTGTAACAGTGCCATCAGCTGGATCTAATGTAACGTTACAGTGATACTATTATATAAATAGGGTGGTCACTACTATTGCAGTTGTTCCCGGGCTCCATGTATCCCCTGTAATGTTAGTATTGTGTTGTCACGAACGCGCTCTATCGCCCCAGTAACAAATGAGCGGAGCTAGAGGTAAAGAAGAAGAAACAACGGTGCGTCTCAGGTGCTGCGGTTATCACTCCGCCCAAGTAGCAGTGCTTCGCCTTCTGAGAATATAGTTCCCAATATTTATACGGTTAAAGGATGTCTGTGTCTCATATGACCTTGTTATTTGTACACTCTGTGACTATACAAATCACAACATGTAAATAGGAAAATGTTTGCGTTATTTTGTCTCTTATTGGGATTAGTATGCTAGCTGGAGCCATTTACATCCAGTCTTTGTGCTAAGCTAGGCTAGCGGTGGGTGCGTCAGACAGAGTTACGGCACGCACGGAGATGAAAAGGGTATGTATGGACTTATCTAACTCTGGGGGATACAGTGAATAAGCTAAAGTCCAAAAAAGTCGAAGTGTTCCTTTAACTCAATAATTTGGTATGTTAATTTTACAGCCATAAAGTCCTCAACACGTTCAGATCAAATCTGATGAAGAAGTTTGAGTGTCTTTATGAGGAAACAGCAAATCAGGGAAACCCAACACTCCTGAATGAGATCTACACAGAGCTCTACATCACAGAGAGTGAGAGTGGAGAGATCTGTAATGAACATGAGGTGAGACAGATTGAGACACAATCCAGGAGAGCAGCAACAGAGGACACACAGATCAAATGCAATGACATCTTTAGACCTTTACCTGGACAAGACAAACCCATCAGAACTGTGCTGACAAAGGGAGTCGCTGGCATTGGAAAAACAGTCTCTGTGCAGAAGTTCATCCTGGACTGGGCTGAAGAGAAAGAGAATCAGGACGTCCAGCTCATATTTCCACTTCCTTTCAGAGAGATCAATCTGATGAAGGACAAAACACTCAGTCTTTCAGATCTTCTTCATGTCTTTTTCCCTGAAACTAAAGAAATATCCAGTGACAAATATAAAAAGTTGTTCATCTTTGATGGTCTGGATGAGTGTCGTCTTCCCTTAAACTTTCATAGCAATGAGATTATACTGGATGTGACCAAAGAGACCTCAGTGGAGGTGCTGTTGACGAACCTCATTGTGGGGAATCTGCTTCCCTCTGCTCTCATCTGGATCACCTCCAGACCAGCAGCAGCCGATCTCGTCCCCTCTGAGTGTGTCCATCGAGTGACAGAGGTACGAGGGTTCAATGATCCACAGAAGGAGGAATACTTCAGGAAGAGAATCAGTGATCAGAGTCTGGCCAATACAATCATCACACACCTGAAGTCCTCAAGGAGCCTCTACATCATGTGCCACATCCCAGTGTTCTGCTGGATCTCTGCCACTGTTCTGGAGAAGATGATGAGCGAAGCAGAGAGTGGAGAGATTCCCAAGACTCTCACTCAAATGTACACACACTTCCTAATGGCACAGATTAGCATCAAAGACACAAAGTACAATGAGAAGGAGGACAAAGATAAAGAGATGATCTTCAAACTAGGGAAACTGGCATACGAGCAACTGGAAAGAGGCAATGTGATCTTCTACGAGGAAGACCTGAGAGAGTGTGGCATTGATGTGACAGAAGCATCAGTGTACTCAGGATTGTGCACTCAGATCTTCAGAGAGGAGTTTGGCTGGTATCAGGGGAAAGTCTTCTGCTTTGTTCATCTGAGCGTCCAGGAACATCTAGCGGCTCTATATGTGCACCTCTCCTTTACAAACAACAACATAAATGTGTTTGACCAAATCACCAAAAGGAGTTCACAGTCTGAAGTCAAGGGCTTGTTTCCACTAATGTTTAAACATGTGTCATTGTCTGCTCTGCATCAGAGAGCTGTGGATGAGGCTCTACAGAGTAAAAATGGACATCTGGACCTTTTCCTGCGTTTCCTTCTGGGTCTGTCACTGGAGTCTCATCAGGTTCTCATACAAAGACTAATGAAACAGACAAGCAGATCTGACAGCAATGTGGAAACAGTTCAGTACATCAAGAAGAAGATCAGGACCATTGACTCTCCAGAGAAATCCATCAATCTGTTCCACTGTCTGAATGAACTGGGTGATCATTCACTAGTGGAGGAAATAAAACAGTATCTGAAATCTGGAACAATAAAGGAAGCCAAACTCTCTTCATCTCAGTGGTCAGCTGTCGTCTTTGTGTTGTTGACATCAGAGGAGAAGCTGGATGAGTTTGATCTCAGGAAGTTTGTTGGAGAAAACAATAAAGCTGCTGAAGATGTGAAAGTTTTTCAGAAGCTGCTTTCTGTGATTAAAGAATCCAGATCAGTTCAGTAAGTGTCACTGAGAACAATCAATTTACTGTTAAAACATTAAGAAAATAAAAGTTCATAAATCTCCCGTGCTGCAGATGCTGTCTAGAGTGGTTAGAATTTTTTTTTTTATTTTTTTTTTTTTATCAGTAACACCATAAGTTTTCAAAGTCAGAGAAGTTGCATATGAAGAAATATTTCAGTTATTAAAATATTAAAGGTTTTTGCAAATAAAAAAGGAATTGAAATGTTTGTCATTTTTAAACCAATGACATTGTGCAATAAGGAATAAGAAAATATTATTTATCTTTCTTAAATTAGGCTAATGTTTGTGCTCTGTAACATTTTAGATCTCTGTGCATTGATCCATCAAACATAATGATATTTACTTTAAGTATGCACTTTCTCTTTAATTCTGGATTTACTGATAAACTGATCTGATCTGCACTGAGAGAGTGAAGAGTGTGTCGTTGTTCTCTACAGGATGAGATATTGTGACGTCATGAAGGAAGGTTTTGCTGATCTGACTTCAGCTCTGAGATTAAACCCATCACACCTGAGAGAACTGGATCTGTCATGGGTTAAAATAGGAAATTCAGTGAAGCTTCTCTCTCCTGTATTGAAGGATCCCCGCTGTAAGCTGGAGATACTGAGGTGAGATCATCTCTCTGATATTCACACGTCTTTTCCCCCAGTGTCCTAGGGTTCCTACGCAGTATGGAAAAGTGTGAGTAATTAGTAATTAGAGTATTTAGTTTTCTATAATAGAAATGTATCATATACAAGAAGGTTATTTTCTTGTCAGCTGTTTAGAATTCAAGGTGCACCTTTTCAATATGCAAAAATGCAGGTTATAGGCGTTTTGGGTTTCCTCATGATATTTTTATCACCGAATTACAGAGCCACTAAAAGGACCTTTGCAAACAATGCGGTGTAGTTTCTTGACTACCACAGAGTATGTGATAAAGCAGACCTAATGCCTTCAAATATGTAATGCCCTAAAGAAAGCCAAATTTTGACCTTTTTTTAAAGTACCAGTATGTGTATAGACCCTTGAACTTGGCAAATAGAACAATGCACACGCCATATTGTGCCATCAGCCCATTTCGTGTCTTGGTTTCTCTGCTGCCAGAGAGGATGCGTTTCTGATTTATTGTGGTGCACATGTGGGAACTGTATCATTAACTGTATTAATAACAGTGCATACGTTATCTGAGCAATGATTGATTGAATGATTGATTTAAAATCAAAGTTTGTAAAACAAATCTTGCTCCATCCTTTATCTTTACTCAAAGAAGTAAAGGCCCTTGGACACTGAGTACGAAATTCGCGTCCGAAATTTTTGCACGTTA